AGCAGGGTCACCCCCAGGGGAAGTGAGCCCCGAAGGTCCCGGCTCTGGAGCCTCATGACAAGGACTCTGAGGACTCAGTGTTCGTTGCTGGCCCCCACTTCAGGAAAGGCAGGGCTGGCCGTGATGCTCCATGGGGCTGCTGGCCCGGTGCCCCACTCCTCAGCGCTGCAGTCACCTCTGTTACACATTTTTGGGGTCCAGAGCCTCACTTGGGGCTGCCCCACAACAAGCTGAGTGCTGGCAGCTCTTTTTGTGCCCTGGCTTGGTTTGGGGACTGCTGGAGCAGAGCTGAGGGGTTTACATGGTGTTGTCCTCCTGCTTTTGCTGTGCCAACCTGGTGCCCCATGTCCTGTGGCACCCTGTGCTGATGGCAGCTGTTCCCTGTGCCCATCTGCACTGCTTGGCTCTGTGTCACTTGCTGGGGGCTGTGGGTGCCAAAGGAGGGGCTAGTTTTGAGGACTGGCAGTATGGGGCAGCCCTCAGCCTGCAGTGGGACTGAGATCTCTGCCAACATGGTGCAGGGTAATGCAGGGCTCTCACGCAGCCTGCTTGGGGACCCAGATGCTGACCGGGCCCATGCGAAGATCCATGCAGGGACTGATCCTGTAGTGGGATCCTTGATCTAGTCAGTCCTGTGTGAGTATTAGGGACCTGACCAATCCCATAGGAAAGTCTGTATATTGACCAATCCCATGTGGGAATCTCTGTATTGACTATGGGAATCCATCTGTTGACCAGTCCCACATGAGAACCCCTGCATAGCCCAATCCCAACAAAGCTCCCTGCCCCCAAACAGCCTTCCTCCCATGGCCCTCCTATGGCCATTCTGGGGGAGATGGGGAATGTGGGATCACCCTTGCCCTGTTGGATAGAGCTGTCATGGGGCTGGGGACAACAGGGACCCTGTTACAAAGGCCCCAGCACCATTCCTGCTCTTCTTAAGAGCTTCCTTCAGCAGCCAGGAGCACGCTGGGAGCAGGTCCCCATATCAGGGTGATGGGTGTCCCTACACCCAGGGATGGCAGTGCCCACAGGTGTTGCAGTGCCTGTGGGTGACAGCTGGGCAGGCACAGCAGCCATGGGACAGGCTTTGGGGATGCAGCCGAGCAGGCGCTGGACTCAGGGCCGGAGCGGCGCTGGGAACGTTGCCTTTTTAGGTGCTGGAGCACAGCGCGTCTCTGCTCGTGGCCAGCCCCGTGCCGAGCCCAGCACCCACGGTAGGAGGCAGAACAGGACCTGCCCCACTCTGGGACATGTGGAGTTCCTCTGCTCCACTCTGATCCAAAAAAACCACTTTTCATCCAAAACAGATCCAGGGATGCTGGTTTTCTCCCCCTTCCCCAATTCCAACCTCTGCAACCTCTGGGCCAATGGCTCAAACCCCTGGGAGCCAGGAGCAGCCCTTATTTGGGTTGAAATCAAGGCTATTTTGGTGCTGCAGATTCAATTGAAACCAGCCGGAGCCCGAGGCCCCGCAGTTACCCCATGCATCGCCTTCCTGACTCAGTTCCCCTGCACTGGGGCTGCCGGCCTGACAAGTGACATGCCACCAGGAGCCCTGGGGCTGTCACCCTCCTTGACCCCACTGCTGGAACACCAGGGTGGAATCCATCCCGGTTGGGTCTATCACCACGGGGCGGCTGCACAGGATCCCTCCGCCTTCCCTTACATGGTGCCCTCGAGTTCGCTGCGGTGCCAGGGGCTGGGGACTTTTTCCGTGAGGGTGTTTATGGGGCCGGCGCTCAGAGGTGTTTGTTGGAAACAGCAGCAAGGAGGTGCTGGAAAGGCAATGGTGCTGAGGCGCGAGGCAGGGAGCACGTCCCCAGTGTGAGCTTAACCAGCCACCCACATGTCATCGGAGTGGCTGGCTTGTGCAACGTGGTGACTCTGTGTGCGGTGTTGGAAATCATTGCTGTCCCCAGGGGAAAGATGCTGCTGGGGTCCCCGTGCAGAGCAGAACTCTAGTTACGGGGTGACTGCAATGGGATGTTTGGAGGTTCACCCCACAGCAAGCCTGCAGGAGCTCCTGGTGGTAGGAGGAGAACATCCCCTGCCTCATAAACCACTGGTACCTCTTGCACAACACAGCCACGAGGATGGGGTGCTGCCCAGCCCATGGCCTCTACTCTGCTGTGGGAGTGCCTGACATGGGCGCAGCCAGGCTACAGGGTCAGGCACATGGTGAGGCTGGCGGAAGCTGGAAGGGGATGCTTAGGGGGAAGCCTGGGAGCAGCAAGACCTCTGTGCTCCGGCGTCCGCCCGGCTCCTGACTCACCCCATCTGCCGCCAAAGCTCTCCTGGGGCTGCTGACACGTCCAACCCTCAGCAAATGGGGGGAACCCGCAAAGCTGCCATGCCGGTGTGCTGCCCCCAGTCCTGGGACCCTGTGCAGATAGCTCAATGCTTTGCCCAACGCAGGGTGGGGCTGGCAGGGGGAGCACAGCTGGAAGTGTGCCATCCTCCTGCCTGGGACTTGTTGCATAAACAGGAGATTAGCGGGAGCTATGAGGGACGCGTGGTGCAGAGCTGGGCTTGGCCACAGGAGCACGTGGTGGGACCAAGGAGTGGCATGGAGAGGGTGACTGTGTGCATCAGTCACTTTCGGTGCCACCACTGAGCCACCCAGCCTTGTGCTTGGGGAGGTGATGCACAGCTGGGACGTGAGGTGACGCATGGCACTGAGTGCAAGGAGACAGCTGGGGTGACGCAGAATCTCCACTCAGCTGCCTCCGGTGTCACCCCAGCACCGTCCTGTGGGACAGTGATCAAGTCACTGAGTCACTGAGTCACTGTCCTCTTTGGCATCTTCCTGCCCACTGCCAAGCTGTTGATGGGCTCTGCATCTCTGGGTACAGGGACTCCCCACTGCAGTCTCAGTGTGGGGCTTTGCTCATCCGTGCAGTGCATGCCAGGTTTCGATGATCCTGGCACTGCAAGGGTCAGCACCGGCCCGGATATCGGACGGCTTGGGGATGTTTATCAGAGCTCCTGGGGAAGGGAAAAACAAAAACCACCACCCAAAGGAAGGGATATGCGTCAGCGATGGGCTCGGGCGACCCACCGGCAGCCGGACGGGATGAGGGCCAGCACTCACCCAGCCCTGTAAGCAGCAGCGCTGCACCCTCAGTGCCTGCAGCCTGGCTGGGGGGAACCCCCGCAATCTCCCAGCCCACCCCATGCTGAGCCAGACTGCTCCCTCCAAGGAGGTTTGTGAGGCGCTGGGGAGAGCCCTGCGGGGATGCTGCAGCTGCAGCAGGACCTGGAGGAGGAGGAGGGAGAGGAAGGCTCTGGGAGGGAGGTGTGTGCCGATGGCCATGCAGGATATGGGGACAGGGCTGTGGCATCCTGAGGGTGTGAAGTTGTGCAGGTGCGGCAGTTGGAGATGGTTGGATGTAGAGAGCTCAGTGGTGCTCTGCGCGCAACCCCGTACGAGACGTTAGAGAGTCTACACGGGCTGTGTTGGAAGCTTGGGCTGTGTGCATTTTGCTGCCCAGCCTTCACCTGGGAGGAGATGGCTGGGCCCTTGTGAGGACCTTTGGGGGGGGCCTGCGACTTGGGGGGCGTGGGGGGCTGAGGGTGGGCAGCCGCCCCGCTATGCCTCGTTCCTCACATTCCTGGGCAGGGCTGCCGGGTGGAGGGGTCGTGGCGGCGCGAGCTGTGCGGCAGGAATGCAAACACCGGAACGGGGAAAAGAAAGGCGGCTGTGTCTGCTGCGGTCGGGCAGAACTGTCCAGGGGTTGCGTGGGACCCCCCACCTTTCTATGGGGGACACAGGGGATGGCGGTGGCCCTATCACCTGCGTGGTCTGCAGCTTCTCTCTCCATCTTCCTGGGGTGCTCCTGTGTGCCTGCATCAGGAGCTCAGTGTCACAAGGAAGGGCTAACCCCATATTAGACATCACAGAATTAGGACAGGGAGGTTCCACCCCAGCCACCTCACTTTTGTCCATTCTGCAGCTGAAAACCTCCAGGTGCAGAAGGCAGAGGCTGGGTGGGGAATGTCCTACCTACCCTCAGTGTCCCACAGTTGGGGTTCTGCCCCATCCCCGGCCTCAGGAACTGGGGGGCTGGGCTGCGGGGGGACCCTATGCGAGCATCCCTAGGGGGATGTGGGGTGCAGCACGGCCCTGTGCCGGCCCCGTCCATGGCCACTTTGCTGCTGGAGAACATTCCAGGGAGGCTGGCGTGGGGCCAGCACCGCGGGGCAGGGAAAGGGGCCTTTTATGGAAGCGTTTCTGCATTAGAATAAAATCATAATAATAATGCGCAGGGGAAGGGAGCGGGAGGAGAAGGAGGAGGAGGAACCCCTGAACAAAACACAGAGGCGGAATGGGAACGCTCTGGCAGCTGGAGGCTCTCCACCGCGGGGATGGGGCAGGATACAGCTCTTGGGAGTGGGGTGTTTGGGGGCAAAATCCCCATTTTGTGCTCCACTGCCAGGGAGATGCTGAGCAGGGTGTGAGAGGTATATTGCTGAGCATGTCAGTGCCTGGCACGGGGTGACTTGTAAGGGGTCCCAATCTGAGAATATTTTTGGGATGGAGGGGACGAGATGCTCCAAGTTGCATTCTCCCACCACCACTGCCATCCTTAGGCCCCCACCAGCCTGCAGTGCTGTTCCTGTGTCCCTGCGGGCACCACCAACCCAGCACTGCCTTTCCCTTTGCAGCACGCTGCTGCTGGGGTGCACGCAAAACCCAAGGTTAATTGGCAGTAATTGCCTCTGGTAATTAAGGTAACAATAGCCGAGCTGTTCAGCTGGCGTCTGCAGAAATACTCAGAGAAGGCTGGGCTGGGTTTTGTGCCAGGTGCTCCTGGCATCAACCTTACAGTGCCCACCTGGGTCTGAAAATGATCATCTGGAGTTGTCCACCTGGGTCTGAGATTGCCCACCCAGGGTTGGGGCATGCTCAGCTCTGTGCTCTGAGCAGGGGATTGTTGCACCTTTCCTGTACCTGGTGCTGCAGGGACTAATAGGTGCCTCTCTCTGCTCCCTTGCAGGCTGCTACTCCCTGCTCCCCTGCTGTCAACTATGAGCTGGTAAGTGATGACTTTGTGGCAAGCTGTCTCTCCTTGGGCTGTTAGAAGGACAGCAGTGGGATGTGACCATTCCAGGCTCTGGTGTCCCTCCTCCTGGCTTGGAGCAAGGTGGTTTTTTGCACGCCCGGAGATAGCTGTAGCAGATGTGTCTTTGGCTATGGGCTCCCAAAGTCAAGTGTGAACATCCCCAGCTATTGTCACCCCCTGCTTTTTGTCCCTGCGGGGGATTTTTAGTGAGCAGCCAGATGTGCGTGGGTCTGGAGAGCTGGGGTGACAGGAGCCCTTCCCACAGGACATGGGAAGCACGGGGTGTGGTGGCAGGATAGGGTTGTAGCAGTGGCATGGTGCTGGGTGCTGCATTGTGTGACCCCAGCTGGGCACAGTGGGTGCTTGTCTCAGCTCCTGCCAGCTCATGAGGGCAGCACATGAGCCCCACCATGGTTATCTGCCCTGGGCTTAATCTCTGCCTGCACTGCCACAGGCACTTATCGCTGGCAAAAATGTGTTGGCTTTGAGCTGGGACCGTTACTGTGGCTTTGGGAGGAAATTGAAAGGGTTTTGCCCTCTTGCCTGTGGAGCAACTGTAGCAGGAGGACACAGCCTGGTCCTGGCTTCCCCTTTGTCTCCTGGTCCCAGGGCTGAGATCCCCCTGTGTGCCACCTGACTGGCTATCCTTAGGCAATGACTCTGTCCCCTGCCCCTATACGTGGGGTCAAGAGACCCTCCCCCAGACCACAGTCCCTTCTCAGAGCTCTCCAGAGGCTGCCAGTGACATCTCACTGAAATCATTCTTCCCTGAGCACCCCCTGCTTGGGACCCTGGCCATCCCACTGTGGCACTGTGTTTATGTTGGGGAGCAGTGTCTGGAGGTAGGGCTCTGCTGTTGTTTACCCACTGCACCACAGCCCTGGTTTTGGAGCACAGCTGAAGCTGGGGGCTGCTTTTCTTGAAAATGACCTCCTGCTGCAGATGGGATGGGGATGGGATGGGAGTAGGGTGGTGCCATGGGGGATGCAGGGGTGAAACAGGAGGGCAGTGGCCGCCAGTGGGGCTGTGCGTTGCCCTGGTGCTGTACTTGGGTTTCGAGGGATTCCTGGCTTTTAGGAAGAACAGACACGTGGAGGAAAGGAAGGAAGCGGCATCATGGAACATTTCCTAAGAAGGGCCAGAAATAGACGGGGGAACTTATGACCGCAGCCACCCCTCTGCACGTGTGCATGTGCCTCTCAACCTCTCTCTCCTTCTCTTTCTCTCCTTTTTCTCACTCTCACCCCTGCCACAGCCGTCCCCAGGGCAGAGCATCACCAAGCAGGTGGACACCCCGGTAAGTGCCATGTGCTGGCAGAGGCTGCTTTTCACCTTGAGACCTTACTGGGGTTTACTTGTGCCTATCCCACAGCCAAAAGCCTGCTCCTTATCCCATGACCCCCCTTTGCTGCTGGACCCCCATTCCAGGGCCATGCTGATGCCTAAGGTGATGGGCAGAGGCAGTAGCAGAGCCCAGCAGAGGCCTTGGAGTGGAGGCTTTTGCTGCAAAGCCGGCTTTCCTGTCCATAGAGCTAGGGATCCGCTTTTTAATCTGTGGACATGAGATTGCTAAGACAGTGTAGACAAATGCCCTGCCAAAGTCAACGCAGACGGCTTCCCCCTGCTCACCCGCCTCCGCATGCACCAGGGCTGGAAATGTCCAGTGAGGAGTCAGGAACCCCCTTTGTTGCTTTGTTTCTCTTGGGGAATTTGTCAGTGTTTCTGCATCCTTCCCTGTGGCTGAGGTCACCGTGCCAGCGGCTGGAGGCAGGAAGGACCTATGGCTTTTGGATGATGCCAAGAGCATGGGGAGCTGAGGTGATACAGGGTGGGAGGCAGGTTTGGATGGGGATCTGAGGCCCTCCCCCCTCCACAGGGGGTCTCTGCAGCATCTCTTCCAGCCTTTGGGGTTGGTGGCACCTCCTGCAGCCCCGTGGTGCTCTACTGGTTATTGAGGTTTGGATTTCCTAGGAGTCGGAATGCACCACCCGTGCTAGATGAGTCTTTAAAGGACTCCTCCTTATTAGTAGGAGATCCTAAAACTAATGAGGTGTGAGTGTATTTTCCCTTAGTGGTTTTTTTTGGAAACCTTGCTTTGTTTTTTGGCTGAGGTCACAAAGTCACCCAACAAACTGACTGCAGATGAAATTCTTGAGGCTGGAGAACATGCATAAATAGAAGTTTCCTGCTTGGAGAGCTCAAACATTTCCTCCCAGCTTTTGGCTTGGCCAAATCAAACGGCAGTGCCTGGCCTCATGAGCCTCCTGTGGGCTGCAGACCTGCCCTGTCCTGTGGCCAGGTGTTATGGGGCTGCCATCGTGCTGTTCCCAAGTTTGTGTGCACCGGGGGCTGCTTGTGTCTGTGTAGGGGCATGGTGCCACTGGGATGCTCATTGGATGCGATTTGGTGACAGTGTGTCAGGGATGGATGCTCCAAGCATCACTGCACTTGGTGACCTGTGGCTGCTGTGGCTCCAGAGCCATGGCAGTAACTTGCTTTTCCTCTCTTGTTCTTTAGGACGCCACGAGGTCCCCCAGAGGCGGGCAGGCACACCGCAAAACAGCCAGGTAGAGCCCAACATCTTCACCATGGGGTTGGGGACCTGCAGGCAGTGGTACTGGGAGCAGAGGAAAGCCTTAGGGTGGCCCTATACCTGCATTCCCAAGCATCTCAGCCCGTGTTGCTTTACCCAGATGACTGTGGTGGTGGGCAGGGTCATCATGTCCCCTCCTTGGTGCCTTATCCTGATGGAAGTCTCCTTCCTTGCTCAGGAGCATGAGTGTGACAGCAGCCATGGAGAGCAGCTGTGAGCTGGACCTGGTGTACATCACGGAGCGCATCATTGCTGTCTCCTACCCCAGCACAGCTGAGGAGCAGAGCTTTCGCAGCAACCTCCGCGAGGTGGCCCACATGCTGAAGTCCAAGCATGGGGACAACTACGTGGTGAGAGGACCTGACAGCCTGAGTATGGGGCTGGGATGCTGTTAGGGAATGGGTGCCACATCCTCACCTCTGGTCAGTCTTCACCCTGATGCGCTGAGCTGGAGAGTGAGAATCTTTGCACTGACACAAATGGTGTTTTTCTGTTGTTGGAGGTTTCCAGCCCCTTTTGGACCCATGGGAATTTTTGGCCATGGTAGTGCCCTGTGGCAGGGCATTACTGGGGTTAATGTGTTTGGGGAAGTGGGTTTTTGGGGAGGTTTGAGGATGAAGAAGAGGTTGGGGTGGCATTAGAAAATAAGACATCTCCTCACACTTTCTTTCCTCTTTCCCAAAGCTTTTCAATCTGTCAGAGCGCAGACATGACATCAGCAAACTTCACCCCAAGGTGGGTCACAGCAGGGAGCAGGGGGTTTTGAGGCTGGGGCAGGGCAGCGGGAACAGCTTCCCAGTGCAACCTCCCAGGGCAGGAACAGCTTCCCAGTGCAACCCTCCTGCCTCACCAAGCAGCTGGAGGAGCAGGGAAAGGAAAGCCCAGAAAAGAGCATCAGGACTTCCCCCACCAGCCCAAGTTGGCATCTCTTGGAGTGCTGCCTTGTTTCCCCTGGAGAACCATCTTCGTCCCTGGGAATGTGGGGTCTCCTGAGCAGCTGAGATGGGTGTTGGGGAGCTAGGATATGGGGACCTAACATTCCCAAGCTCAGGACAGGGTCTTGGCAGCAGGAGAGCTGGTGGAGAGCCTGGAAGAGCTTAACTGTGCACTGCAGAGGCAGAAGTGATGTGGTTTTGACTCTTGATTGTTCCCCTACCTCCTATTCCTTGCCCAGGTGCTGGATTTTGGATGGCCTGACCTGCACACGCCGGCACTGGAGAAGATCTGCAGCATTTGCAAAGCTATGGACACGTGGCTGAACGCGGCGGCTCACAATGTGGTGGTGCTGCACAACAAGGTGGGCTGGACCCCAAAGGGGGGCTGCAGGGATTGAGCTGAGCAAGCTGAGAGGTGTAGGGAACCTGATGTTTGGCGGCTCATTGTGCAGATTGGGGTGTGTGTTGTAAGATTTGGGAGTGTGGGGTGCTGATGGGCACTGTCAACCCTATGATATCCTTTCTGTTACCTGCAGGGGAACCGAGGCCGCCTGGGGGTAGTGGTGGCTGCCTACATGCACTACAGCAATATCTCAGCCAGGTGAGAGCAATGGCACAGTCTCAGAGCTTCCTTACCTCCTGCTCAGCACTGCACTGATTTCCTTCTCCTATGTAACCCTTTGTCCCCGCAGTGCTGACCAGGCTCTGGACAGGTTTGCCATGAAGCGCTTCTATGAGGACAAGGTGGTGCCGGTGGGACAGCCCTCCCAGAAGAGGTGTGTTCTGGCATGTGGCCTTGGGTTTGTCCCACGGTTGGGGCTGTGGGACCTGTCCCTGAGTTGCCTGTCCACCCTTCCAGGTACATCCACTACTTCAGTGGGCTCCTCTCTGGCAGCATCAAGATGAACAACAAACCCCTCTTCCTGCACCACGTCATCATGCACGGCATCCCCAACTTTGAATCGAAAGGCGGTAGGTGCCCCTGAGCCTTTGCTCCTTGTTCTCCAAGGGGGTTACTTTTCACAGTATCCTGAGCAATCTGAATGCTTTCTATCCTTCTCCTCACTAGAACTGTTCTCTTCTCTTTAGTAGGGTGCTACCATGCAGGAATGCGCTCTGGGGTTGCTCCCCCTTAGGGCTGGATACTGATCAGCAATAAAGGCTTTTCTGATGGCTTATTGGAGAATGGCACCAGACTGGGTTTTGGGCAGGGGAGGCAGTACCTACTGGATGCTGGTGCCTGCTGGGGCTGAGGAGATGCCATACTCAGAGCCCATTAGGCTCCATCTCACTTCCACTGCTAGCCCCACGTGTGTCCTATAGGACCCAGTTGGGCTCTGGGGGCTCCCATACTGCTCTCAGCCCTGTGCAGTCAGGAGCATCCCTTTCTGCCCATCCCAGATGTTGCCCGCTGCTGGAGGCCTCACCAGTGCGGGCTGGCTGGGGTGGGAGTGGCTGTTTGCCTTGGCTCTGTCCCTGTTTGGATTTCTACCCCGTGACTAATCCCTGCCCCTCCACCCTGCCGGCTGAAAACGTGCCTTCTCTCCCTCATTGATGTCTTCCAGGTTGTCGGCCCTTCCTGAAGATCTACCAGGCCATGCAGCCTGTCTACACATCAGGGATCTAGTAACTATCTCTGCATGTTTGACAGCATGCTCCCCTTTCTGTCCAGCTGGGGAGGTGGCTTGCAGCTTGGAGGGGGGATGGAGATATTTCAGGGCCATATCTCTAGTGATCCCAGTGCTTCTTGATTCCCGCCAGTTGGGAAAAAAAGGGACTCCCTACTTCCTTGGAGGGAGGAACTGGCCATACTGGGCTGTACTGGCCTGGCCCAATCTGCTGGAGGGCTGTAGTGACTCTGAGCATCAGCAGAGGGAGCCTGGAGCTGTGCAGAGCCTGGGGCTGGGGACACCTCACCGTTCCCTGGGGGCAGAGGCGGTTCTCCTGCAGCTGGCCAGAGACATGCTCCTCCTGCCAGGGCTGATCCCTTCTGGGTAAAGCCCATCTCTGTGCTGCAGCATGATGTGAGGCACTTCTCTAATAATGGTTCTCCCTCCCTATAGGAATCCTGTAGGGCTGATGCCCTGCCAGCACCCTGCTGGAGGGCGCTTGGGTACAGAGCATATTGCAAGGTGGCTGTGAAGAGCATCTTCCTCAGAGCCTGCAGAATAGTCTCCCTCTCTTCCTCCCCCAGAATAGTTTTCCACTTTTTAACCTCTGCACTACTTATCCCAATACCATTTTGCTGATGCTACCACATGGAGCTGGGTTGTGTCCCCGTTCCCAGCCCCAGGGCCCCTGGGAGCAGTCAAAGAAGCTAATTTCTCCAGCTGCCTGGATGCTCTGCTGGGGCCGCATCCCATATGGATCCCCCGGCTCCTGGCCCCACACCCAGCCTTCAGATGGGCCCCTTTAAGGGGAACAGAGCCCATTGCCTTTGGGGTATTCCCATCCCACCCCCCTGAACCAGGAACTCCTATCCCCGCCATCCATCTATCCCCGTTAGCTGAGATTTACTGCCACCCCAGCCTCGCCTTTCAGCTTTTAATAGACTGTTTATGGGACACCAGTAATAAACTCCAGGTTTATCTTGCCTGTGAAATCCAACTCCCTTCTTCCCGCATCCCCTGTGCTTGTCCCCTACCGCTGAGCGCTGACGCCAGTGCTCACAGGAAGCTCCCTGCTGCATGGTGGGGCTGCAGGCAAGAAAACTGAGGCAAGGGGAGCCCTGTGCTTTGAGCCCCTGACTGGGGGGATTGGGTGGAAGGGGGCTGGTGGGGGCTCATGTCCTCACACTGTCCTTCTCCACAGCAATGTGCAAGGGGACAGCCAGACGGGCATCTGCATCACCATCGAGCCGGGGCTGCTGCTCAAAGGCGATATCTTGGTAAGGAGCTCACCCCATCCCACAAGGGGAGCTGGGGATCAGTGGTCCTCATGCCCTAAGGTCATGCTGGCAGCCTGGAGGCTCATTTAATCCCTGCTATCCCACAGCTCAAGTGCTACCACAAGAAGTTCCGCAGCCCGACCCGTGATGTGATTTTCCGCGTGCAGTTCCACACTTGCGCTGTGCACGACTTGGACATTGTCTTTGGCAAGGAGGACCTGGATGAAGCATTCAGAGGTAACTGCGCTGTCTGATGCAGCCTCCCCCTCTTTTCTCCCAATTTTCCACTCCTGCAGCTCCGGTTCTGCTCTCACTGCCTGGGAACAATTAGGGTATGCAGCCCCCACAGACCAGAATGACCATCCCCCATCTGCCAGGCTGCGTGAGACTGGGCTTTCCTGCTGATCTAGGGAAAGGGCTTGGTGGTGGGCAGCCCTTTTCCCATTCCTGACCGTGGTGGAGATGAACCAGGGCCATCCTGCTCTGTATGATGGGTGTGGTGCCAAGTGGGGACAGATGACAGCATCATCCCAAATCTGGATATCGTTGCCTGAAGGATGATGCTTGAGCTGGTTGAGGCTGTCAGCTGGCTGGGTGGTGAGGTACTGGAACAGATTGCCTGGACAAGTTTTGAATGCCCCATCTTGGAGGCTAGGTTGGATGGAGCCCTGGGCAACCTGATCTAGTGGCTGGCAGCCAGCCTATGGCAGGGGGGTTGGAAGTGGATGATCTTTAAGGTCCCCTCCAACATAAACCATTCTGCAGGGCAGGTGCCCTGTACTTTGTGCAGGTCTGTTATGCTTGTCTGTGTGCTGTTGGAAGGACAGATGGTGATATCCCTTTGCTCTGCTCTCTTCCTGCCAGATGAACGCTTCCCTGAATATGGAAAGGTGGAGTTTGTGTTCTCCTATGGCCCTGAGAAGATCCAAGGTAAGGCTAGCTCAACCCGCAAGGAGGATCTACGTCCCCAAAAGTACAGCCCTAGGGCAATCCTTCCCATAGGACTATAGAATCTTTAAGGTTGGAAAAGATCTGTAAGATCAGCCAGTCGAACTGCCCACCTACCACTAATGTTGCCTGCTAATTGTGTCACTTGGTACCATGTCTACCCTTTTGTTGAACACCTCCAGGGATGGTGCTCCACCACCTCCCTGGGTAGCCTGTTCCAATGCCCAACCACTCTTTCTGATAAGAAATTCTTCCCAATATCTAATCTGAACCTCCTCTGGCACCATTAGAGGCCATTCCCTCTGGACCTATTGCTAGTTACCTTGGAAAAGAGGCTGACCATCCACCTCTCTGTCCCAAGGCAACTCGCCCACAACCCTCCTACCTTATCTCCCCTTTTTCCATTCCCTGTGCCATCTCTTGGCCCCATCCCTCATGTGCCAGCTCTGTTTTCACTCCAGTGGACTGTCCTTTGTCCTCCCAGGCATGGAGCACCTAGAGAATGGCCCCAGCGTCTCAGTGGACTACAACACATCCGACCCGCTCATCCGCTGGGACTCCTACGAGAACTTCAACATCCAGCGTGAGGACAGTGCCGAGGGGGCCTGGGCTGAGCCAACACTGCCGGGGAAACATCTGGAGAAAGGTCAGAGCCGCAGGTGGCCAGCAAGGCTACGGGATGTCACCATACCTTGGGGAACGATGGTGCTGCTTTTTGTGGGGAGCGAGGCCAGGTTTCTGCCTCCACAGCCCTATTCCCTCCCTCGCTAGGTCTGGCTGCAGCAGGCTGGCATGGTGGCTGTAGGGCTGGGGCTGCCGGTGTCTGAGGCAGCAGTGCGAGGGGGTCCTTGTTTATGGTTGTTCTTGCCTTATTTGGTCAGAGAATTGCACACCAACATTTTTGGCACACCAGGCGCAAGCAAGCGGTGGTGGCGGGGCGGGGGGGTGGAGGTTGGCATGGGGGGGGGGGAGGGGGAGATGACACGGGACCAGCACCGGGGTGGGATCAACCGCCACACTGCTGCTTTGCCACTGCTGCTCCCTGACGTCTGGTGAAGGCTCCTGGAGGAGGTGGCAGCCTGGAGGTCAGGATTGGCTACAAACCGGTGGGTTCCCCTTCTCGCTCTCACTCTGTTTGGGGTCCATGCTGGGAGCAAAGAGGCTGCTGGGCTGGGGGGTGACCCCATGGTGGATAGCAGGGGGTCCACCAGGGATGGTGCCTGTTCTGGTGCTTGCCACCTGTCTGCTAATCCTCATGGATGTGGGGGGGAAACTGAGGTGCAGCGAGGTCCTTGGTTGATTGAGCAAATATCCTCATTTCGCTCTCTGGCCCGGCTGGGCTGTTTCACAACCCGCTCTGCTGGCTTTATCTATGTCCTCGCCTGGCCTAGGCTGCTCTGTGGTTATCAGTGAGAGCGGGGTGCACTGGGACCCCCCCATTTCCATCCCACTGCATGTCATTGGTTCCTACATAGTTGCTTGCAGCTCCGCCTGCCCTCCTGTCTCCTCCTCAAAGAGGCTTTGGGGTTGTTCTGACTCTGTAATGAGTTCCCTCCATACTTACAGCAGCTGAGAAAGCTGAGGGAGGGGATGGCTGTTATTGGAGTTCAGGTCTCCCCTGTTCAAGGTGGGTGAAGGATGTTCTGCCCTTCCTGGTGGGGCCAAACTGGGTCCAGGGAACAGCCGGAGCACTGTGGGTTTTGCAGCTTATTGGAGAGTTGCTGCAGAGAGATTTTTGGGGTACTGCACACTGGCAATGTAGATGGGGAGTGATTATTGACTGGTTTGGTTTGGCTGAGATCATTGCCAGTGGAGAGGAGTGCTGGGGTTGGCACAGAGATAGGGGGTTATCTCCACGACTTGGATGTGTGGCTGTGGTAGGTCAGAGCAGGGGGACAGAGGTTTCTGCTATGCTGGGGCAGCATGAAGTTGTGCCAAATGGCCATGTGTGTTCCTGACTCAGTGGGTTCCATTACCACTGTCCCTTGGACCCGCTTACCCCACTGAACCTGGTATCCATCCCTGCCTTCCCCTGTACAAGCCCTGTCTCCACTGCTGGAATGGGGACTGCTGAGGCTGGGCCAAGCCCAACATCTGTATGGGGCTTGCTAAATCCTCACCTGAGTAATGCTGCTGGCCCCTGGCTTGGCTGTGCTCATGTGCCTATGCTACGCTCCCACCGTGTCTGTGTCTGGGATGGCACAGTGAGGGTGTGAGAAGGCATGTTTATAGGGGGTGCCAGCAACTTGCATCAGCCCTGGCTGAAAAACATCCTGGGGTGATGCTGGTGCCCTCCTGCCTCCCCATCCCATTCAGGGAACAGTTTGGGCATCAGTCCTGTACCTTTCCATGATCACAAAGTCCCTGGATTGGGTCAGTGCCATGGATTTGTCCCCACCACGGGGTCAGTGCCACAGGTTTGTCTATATGATAGGGTGGTATCTTGCTGGGCTCCTGCCTTGGGCCCGCTTGGACAGCTAGGGCATACGGGGCAACAGGCGAGCCGAGCTGTGTGAAGGTAGGGAGCCAGATGGGGCAGGCTGGGGCTGTTAAAGCCATCGGTAGAGCATTGAGGCTCTCCCCCCTGCACCTGGCTCTGTCCCCTGGCTGGGCTCAGCAGGGAGGGAGCCGCTGGCTCTGCTCTCACTTTCGCCAGCTGACTAAAGCTGAAGGAATCTGCTTCCCCCTCCCCATCCCGCCCATCTCCGCTGCTCTGCACTCCGACCGCAGTGAGGTAAGGGCTCAGCGAGTGGGTGTTGGAGGGCATGGAGGGCTGGGGCTGAATCCAGGGGCAGTTTCTCCACTTTTCTTCTGGTTATTCCCCATGGGGTAATGGCGAAGCATCTGTGGGTTGGCTGGATGGTCGAGCTGGAGTGTGGAGGTCACAGCAGGATGCAGGAGGGGTGCTCGGCAGGCAATAGGAGCTCAGTCTCTTCTCTCTCCTCTTTTAAACAGTCCTTAAACTGATGGAGTGTGTCTGGGGGGTTCTTGGTGTGCCCAGAGCTGTGAAACCAGGGGTGAAAAATCAAAAGGTGAAAAGCAAGCAAAAAAGGTGTCCAAGGATGCATGGTGCACACTGGTTTTTGGGGAAATCAAGCTCTGAGTTGAGGGCTTGGGTAGAAATGCTGCTCCCATTGTCATTCGTGGTGGTATGAGAGGTGTGCATTTTGGGGAGAGTGGAGAGGAGGTCACGTTTGGCCGATGGGGCCATTGGAAGGGTTTCTGTGCCTTTTGAGCTGGGCACTTGTTTAAGAAGGAGAAACTTGCATCTCCAACCAGAGCTTTGAGTCTGCCTCCTTAAAGCATGACGTGATGCCCAAAAGGCCATCCCTCTCCTCCCACACGGAATGTGTCACGGCTTTCTGGGGACAGGTGTGACGTGACGCCAGAGCTAGGCAGGGCTGGGGGGCTCTCGAGCTGGAGAGTCCCTGGGCTGGGGGCCTCCTGCAGTGGGCGATGTGGTGGTGTGAAGGGAGCAGGCTGTCTGTCCGGCTCTTTTTGGGGAATCTGTCCATATGTCTGCAATGCCGAAGAAATGGTTAATGCGGCGCTGCGCTGGCTGCCTCTGGAGGAAGTAGTTAATATTCATAACCAGGAGCTGTCTGTCCGGCTGTCCTCCCTGCCCTCCCTCCATGGCGGCTCGCCCCTCGCTGGGTTAAACAGGGCTGGGGCTCCAGCAGCCCCCAAACGCCTCCCCACTGCCTCTCCTCTGTGTGGTCTGGGCAGAGGGGAGGGAACCGGCACCTCCTCGCCTCCAGCCTCTTCTGTCCTTCCCTCCTCCATCCCGCCCTCTCTCCCTGCTGCTGCTGCGCCAGGTCTGAGCCCTACGGTCCCCCCACTGTGTTTGGGGTGCCCCTAAATTGGCCCCGGGGACACAGCGTTACGGTGGGGAATAGCTCCGTGAGAGGGAAAGCAAAGCCAAAAGGACAAACGCCAGCCCAAAGCCAGCTCCGGCCATCAGCTCCTGTCCTGGACGGACGCACAGAACTGGCTTCAGGCACTTCTTGAGCTGCCACCGTGCCAGGTCCCCTGGAAGGAGCGAAGGAAAGGGATTTTGCTGCCCGCTCCTTCTCTTCGTTCAGGATCTTTTCTTCTCTGTGCCCTTTGGTAAGTCCTGTGCTTGCTTTTCTTTGAGCTGGATGGACTGGGAGAGGGGAGGGTTTAGGGTGGGGGGGGATGGTATTCATAGCCATGGTGACCCCTGGCTCAGGGGCTGGGGTTACTTCTTGCCATCGTATCTGGGCACATGAAATAGACCAGAACTGGGGAGAGGTGAGCTCTTTCCTGGTTTCTTTATCCCATGTGGTCCTGCCTGCTGGGGCAGTGGCAGCAAATGAGATGCTGCTGGGGACTGGTTTGGGGGAGATTTGTTGGTATCCCAGCTTTGTCCTCAACACGAGTGCAGGATTTGTGTGGGAGCATGGTGCTGTGTGGGGCACAAACCTGCGACAGGGTTCTGGGATCTGCGGTATGTGTTCTTTACCACCCACTGAGCTGAGCCCCTCTCCTGAGGTTACTTGCTGTGGGCTGGGTTTTCTCCCAGTCTGAGTGAGGGAGAAGGACCCCCAGGCTCAATGCCAGCCAGCCCTGAGCTATACTGGGAGCTGAGCTTGGGCAGACGCGCAACCCTCTGGGCTGGAGTTGTGCTGACCTTCAGGACGAAGACTGACCTTGCCGGGAGTTGTGGCCACTTGCAAACAGAGACTTGGATTCCTGCTGCTTTGGGTATGGCAGTGTTGGCTGAGGCAGCCTGTATCCTCCTCTCTTGCTGGTTTCTGGGGGAGTTTATTTAATTTGTCATCACAGTATGGTCCTGGAGTGCTATGGAGAGGTGGCAGGGAGCAGCAGCTTCACCTCTTGTCATCAGAGCCCAGGGGTGGCATGGGGTTGAGGACAGGGTGTGCAGTCTGGTGTGGGGCAGGGGGCATGACCTTCCTCCTTGCCACGCCAGTGCCACTCTTGGGATGGAGGTCATCAAGCTGCTGTGTCCTCATCAGGCTGAAGGGTGCAAGGCAGGTGGGACAGGCACTTATGGTGAGCTGTGCCCCTTGCAGACCCTGCTTTCGAGATGTTTCGTCCAGCAGCGGGGCGGTTCCCAGCCTACAGACTAATTAAAGCCTTTCCCATCTATTTTTTTTTCCCTTGGAGCCACGTGCTTCCATTTATATTTATTTATTCCCTTTTCCTCTCTATTCCCTTGCCCTATTTATCCCAGCCTCCTTCGGCTCTTGCCCTATTTCTTGGGACCGGCCAGCACCCGTCACTGCCATCAGACAAGGGCTGGGCAATGTCCCAGCTCTAGGCGATGTCTCAGTCTCTCCAGTGTTGACGCTGCCCCTGGACACGGTACTTTTTCCTTTCTTCCTCCACTGGAAGGGATTCCCTCCCTCTTTCCCCCTTTCCCTGCTGTGAGTCAAATGCTGCCGGTTCCTTGCTGCGTGGAGGAGCACGAAAATTCTCATCCCTCCACACTGCGTGCCCAGAGGGGACCCTGCTTTCCCTGCTGCATCACCCCACCTTTGAGGCCAGGGTGATATTTGGGGCTCAGCTGCCTTCCTGGGTTGCCAATAGGGACCTGCAAGTGGAAAACTGATGCTGAGAGGGCTATTCTTGTGGTTGAAACAGGCTGGCTGGGTAGGTTGTGTGCTGGACATTGTGCATGGTGAGGAGGGGCCATGGCGTGGGGTGAGTGCGTCCCCGTGGGCAGGCAGGGATTGGCTGACACGGCCCTGTGCCCCAGCTCAGGACTGGCTTTCGGAAGTGTTTTGCTCACAGATAGGAGTGCTCTGATTTCACACTATCGCATTAGGGCTGTCTTCCGCTCCTGAGTCAGCCGCTTGGCCCCTGGCCAGCGAAGAGTCATTTTTTCCTCCAAAAGAAAGTGTTTAATGCTGCTCACAGCCCCTTCCAGGAAACCTTGTCGGGGAGCTGGAAAAACAAGAGTCTGTAGCCCAGCCGGTGCTGTGCGTGCTGCTGAGGGGGATAGGCATGGTGAAGGGGGCTGTCCTCAGTGCCACTGCAGTGGCTAGGGTCTCACTTCCACCCTAAGGGTTGGATGACTTATTGGGAAGTGGTGGTGGTGGGATCTGGGGGGGCTTGGGGCAGGGTATGAAACCAGTGGTGACATTGCTGTAATACAGTTTTGAGCTGTGCAGTGTCTCGTGCTTCCCCAGTGAGGAGTTGCTGTATGCTTGGGGTTGGGGAGAAATACTGCTTGTGTGGGAGCTTCTGGCCACTGGAGAAGGCCTGGAGCAGATGCACCCGCCCTGAAAGAGGAAGGGAAAGAACTGAAAGGGTGGGAGCCTTGCTGTAGCCAGGGAAGAAAATGTCAAGGATGGGTGGCTGGGCTGGATCCGTGCTTGGTCTGTGAGGAGAGTGGGAGGAAAGAGCAGGCAGGAGGGGACAGATGGGTCTTCAGTCCATCTGTCTTTGATGCCAGGCTGAGTGCATCTCCTCTTTGCCTGACCTCCTGCGGTCTGTGTGCATGCGTTGCCCCCACGGTCCCTGTTTGCCCTCCAGTGCCCCGATGTGTCCCTTTGGGTGCAGCCGTTAAGCGACGTCCAATGGTATCAGCAGCCCCAGCCCTCCCCACCGCTGGGTCTGGGAGGAGAACAGCCACGGACTTTGCACGGAACCGGGGGGCTGTTTGCTGGATGTCAGCGGAGCATGCGGTGCTTGCGGGGCAGGGAAGGACGGCACGGAGCCACGGGGGCGCGGGGAGGGTGCCTGGCACCGGCGTCTGTGCATGGTGGCGCCCGCGGGACCGCGCCAGGTGCGGAGGAGACGGCCATGCTGGTAGTTAAGCACTCCGGCGGCACGGAAGAGATCGAAACCACCGGCTAATGGGACCCATTAGCTACGTGCAGAGAGCCAGCCATTGATCTGGGGTCTCGTGTTCGTTTCTCCCCTTGCAGAGGTTGGGCACACACAAGGGCCCCTGGACGGGAGCCTCTACGCTAAAGTGAAGAAGAAAGACTCCCTGCACGGCAGCATCGGCGCTGTCAACACCGCCCGCCTCCCCCTTTCGGCAGCCCCCAACCACGTTGAGCACACACTGTCGGTGAGCAGCGACTCGGGCAACTCCACCGCCTCCACCAAGACCGACCGGACGGATGAGCCGGGGGCTCCCGGGGCACCCGGTGGCCACGCGGTGCTGAGCCCCGAGGAGAAGCGGGAGCTGGACCGTCTCCTAGTCGGCTTTGGCTTGGAGAGCGCAGCGCCCATGCACAACCACGCACCGGGCCCCGAACCTGCCCGCATGCCCACTGGGCCAGGCCGACATGTAGTGCCAGCCCAGGTGCACGTCAATGGTGCTGGCACACCACTGCTGGCCGAGCGGGAAACGGACATCTTGGATGATGAACTGCCCAACCAGGATGGGCACAGCGTGGGCAGCCTGGGCACGCTCTCGTCCTTAGATGGTACCACCACTGCCAGCGAGGCTGGCTTCCATGAGGCGCCACGTGTGGGCAGCCTCTCCTCCCTGCCCAATGGCCCGGCTAGCTACAATGGGGCTGAGAAGATGCTGAAGGAAGGGCTTTATGAGGCTGAGCCTCTCTCCAATGGTGCCTACCCTTACAGCAACCAGAATACCCTGATGGGCCACCACCTCCGTGACCCGCTGGCTCACTTACGGCCCTCAGCGTCCGGGCAGGAGCACCTGGCTGGGTACCCACAGCGGCAGCCAGCTTCAGCTTCACCGGCCTGGCTCCAGCCTCCGGTCCCCCAGCCCTACCTGTACGGTTATGACCTACCCAGTGCCCACCGCTCACAGTCTTTTCCAGCTGTAGGGACAGCCAAGTATGAAGCGAACCCGGCATTACCACAGGCTCCAGCTCGCAGCACCAGCAGCCGGGAGGCTGTACAGCGGGGCCTGAATTCCTGGCAGCAGCAGGGCGGCAGCCGACCTCCATCCCAGCTTCATGATGGTGGGTTGGAAAGCCACAGCCCCAGCCTTTCCAGCTGCAGCCCCCAGCCCAGCCCGCTGCAGCCCATGCCCCCGCACAGCCACAGCATGCCCGAGTTCCCCCGGGCTCCATCACGCCGAGAGATTGAGCAGTCCATTGAAGCACTTGATGTCCTCATGCTGGACCTTGCACCCTCCGTCCATAAGTCACAGAGTGTCCCTTCCGCAGCTGCTCGCCAGGACAAGCCGGCTGCCATGCTCTCCTCGTTATCTGCACAGCCACTCAGTGGTCACTATGCTCAGCCAGCCCCACAGGTGGTCCAGCCCAGGTCCTTTGGCGCCTCTGTGGGCACTGATCCCTTGGCCAAAACCTACTCACCTGGTCCTCTGGTTCCTGCGGCTCGAAGTACTGTAGAACCAAACTACACCGTGCATGAGTACCGGGAAACCTATACTCCCTATAGCTACCAGCCGGTGCAGGAGCCTCGGAGCTATGGCAGTGCCCCATCGAGCATCCTTCCGCTCAGTGCCTCGTACAGCCCTGCAGGGTCTCAGCAGCTTCTCGTCTCCTCCCCGCCATCCCCCACTGCAACAGCACAAAGCCAGCTGCCCCACAAGGGACTGGAGAGCTACGAAGACCTGTCGAGGTCGGGAGAAGAGCCTTTGAATCTGGAAGGGCTGGTGGCCCACAGGGTGGCAGGTAGGACGCTTTGATTCCTTGGGGGGACAGGGAGGGGACATGCGTCCCAAGCAGCTGCAACCCACAAGGGTGGTGTGGGGATGAGGTTGGTGTTGGCACCCCGCATGGTGGCAGTGAGGGTGGGGGATGGTGACTTCTCATCTGTGCTGGATCAAAGCCTGGGACTGAGCCAGCACTGATCCCGGGGGGGGGCAGCCTCTGCTGCTTGCTGAGCTCCCCCTGGCACAGCTCACCATGTCAGGGTTGCCATGTGGGGCAGGAAGGGGCAACAGCATCTGGGAGACTGTGCTCTGCCTGCCTGCCTGCCCTTGTCTCTAGCTCTGGGGGTTTTGAGGACACTGAGGGTCCCACCCAACCCAAGAGCTGCTGCAGCGCTGGTGCCTTCACTCCTGCTGCTCAAGTGAGCAGTTGTTTCATTGCGGAGCGACATTTGGGAAAGTTTGGGGATGTGTCCAGGCTTGGGGCCAGCTCGTGATGCTGGGGCTTGGCAGCTCCGTCCGTTCCAGCTCTGCGCTCAGTCCAGAAACTCGCCCGGTATTGAAGGGAGGGGGAAGAGGGCTTGGCTGGAAAAATCCAACAGTGGCAACCCATCCAGCCCTGGGGCTGAGTCACCACTGCCCCAGGGTGGGGGGCAGCACTGTGGGGCAGAACAGGGGCATTGGGTGAAGTTTGCATCCATCCAAACCCCATCTTGAGAGTTCAAGATCCACAGAGCTATTCAGGGAGTCAGGGCTTTAAACAAACCCAAGGGTATGGAGATGCCCAAACTTCACTGTGTATCTAGGCTGAACGTTTTAAGATGATCCCCCCCCCTGAAATCCACTGAGCAGCTATCAGTAGGAGAAGAAGTAGAGTGAAAAAGAGGAGAGCCCTCAGAGGAGGAGGGATAGTGTTTGGGGTGGGTGGGAAATGGATGTTTGATGGCATCTATTGGAAATCCTGTATCAGAGCTGGGGGTCAGGGCAGGGTCCTGGGTACTGTCCTGGTATTCAGTCCCACCTCAGTGACTCATGGAGGAGAGACGAATGGGGATGGCCCCAGCCTGTGTCCACCTGTCCCCAGTCTGGCTCTCTGTGCCAGTGGGGACAGAGCGGGTGGGCTGACCCTTGGCCAGGGACGAAGTGTCCCCAAGCCAGTGCTGGGCCTGGGAGGGGACGCTGTTGGAAGTCAGGCACGGACGGGTTTGTTTACATTCTCTGCTGCTATAAATTGCCTGCATGTCCTGGCACAGTGATGAGGAGCATCTCGTATCACCTCCACCCCAGCACCCCAGTTCTGCTGTGCTTCAAGTCCCCTTCCTCCATCCTTTCATCTCATGATGGATGGGTCCTGTTTGGTGCCATCCTCGAGGGGATGGTGTCAGGGCTTTGATGGCATTGCACAAGGACATGTGTGGCTGGGAGCCACAGTGTTCCCAGTTGGTGTATAAGCAGTGCCTGGAGCTATAGGGGAGGGGTGAAGTGAAGCAATGTTCCTGGCAGTTTGGGTGATGTGAGGGGCAGCTCCAAGTAGGGCTTAAGCTCCCTTGCATCCCTGGTGACCTCAGGCTCATCTCTTGGAGCCTGACTAATCATCTCTTGTTTTCTCTCTCTCTGTCTCCCTGTTGTATCTTGTGACATTTGTCCTGTCTGCCCCTTCCTTTCCCCATGGGGTCCGTGTGTGTCCCTGTGACCTCCCACACTCCTTGCACCCTGTCCTGGTATGCTGGCAGAGTACAACGCCAAGCTCAGGGACCTCAACAAGAGCACCAAAGCCCCCCGTCCTCCTCTGAACCAGCAACGGTCCTCCTCCGGTTTGTTCATTCCACCTCCCTCCTTCCTCCTTCTCAAGACTTCTTCCTCCTTTCTTCCTCCTTCCTTTTCCTCCTTTCTTCTTCCTACTCCTCTTTCCTTCTCCTTCCTGTCTCCTCTTTTGTTCCCTCTCTTTCGTCTTTTCCTTTCTTCCCTCTCTCTTCCCCCTCCTTGCCTGCATGCCGAGTGCTCTGTGTGTTGCATGAACGTGGGATGGAGGGAGGGGAAGCCCCACAGGAGGATGGAAGAGGTCTGAGCCTACCAAGCCCTTGGCACAGCGGGACATGGCTAAATTGGTCCTGGGGTTGTCCCCAGCTGGGCTGGATTCTGGACTGTGGTGTTGATGTGAATCCTTTTGGGATGGACTGGAAAATTGAAGGCAAGGTTGAATGCTGGAGTGTGCTGCTCACAGCAGGGACACTGCATCGGTGCTGTGGTTCTTTTTGGGATGAAACATTGATGCCACACTGATGAAGCACTCTAGGATGGAGGAGAGCAGTAGATGTGTCTGTGACTGGAGGGATGGAAAAATTTGGGTCTTGCGGTGAGCACTACAGGGCAGAGTTCGCTACTGTTCTCCATGTTGAGGGGGAACAAGTTTTTACCTCTGTCTGGTCCTGGGAGTGACATCACACTGGGGAAGGGACAGCAGTATGGGCACAGAGTGGGGGCAGGATGCTGTATTCTCCATTTTTGGCCACTCTGGATGTGCTGTGATGAGGCATGCTGCTCCTGCAGAGGGACAAGGCGTCCTTGGGAAAACTGCTGTGTGGCCAAGCGGGGCTGCACATCTGCCGAGGGGGCACGGCTTTGCGGGAAAGGAGGGTTTATTTTTCAAGCATAGTTTCCAGCACATAAATCACCCAGGGGTCGGGAGGCCGTGCGCAGAGCCTGGGTTTCCTCCAGGCTTCGCTCCGAGCTGCTTGTGAAGTTTCCCACTCCTGACTCCTGAACAATGAGTCCCTTTTTTTTCCCCTCCTCCCTCCCCTCCCTGCCGTCCCCGTCTGTTTTCCATTTCTGGGGAGTGAAGCAGCAAAAAGCCTGCGAGCTGCTGGGCATTTGAGCGCCGAAAAGCAGCCTGGCCTTGGGACTGGCCCCACATTCCCCTCTCCATCCCCATGCAGTAGCTCAGGGTTGGGACGCCCCAGTGCAGCAGTGCTGGGGGACAGCCTTGGAGCACAAGGTGCTCAAAGCAAGCCAAGACAGGCGAGTGCAACTGGAGGAGCCCAAGGAGCTGGACAGAAGGTTTGGGGTGACCTGGTGCGATGCTCCCCCTGCAGCACAGCATCCCCGCGACTCCCCTAAGGGCTCTGAGCCGCCGGCCCCCGAGCACCTGCAGAAGGGATTGAGGAGTTGTGTTTCAAAGCTGCTCCGAGTGGAATTTTCCAGGCCGCCTCCGCGGCTCGAGCCAGCCCCGTTGGCTCGCGTCCCCCGCCTCTCAGCCGGGCCGCTGCTCCCCAGAGCGTTGATTTTATTGTTGCTGCCATTAACTGCGCTGATTAGTTCGAAATGCACCCGGCCACCTCCCTCCCTCCCTCCCTCGCTGCCGGAGGAGCCGGGGGCTGCGGCAGTGCACTATGCGAGTGCAGGGGTGGACGGGAGGAGAGGTCAGCAGGCGCAAGGCGCAGAGCCCTGACGAGCAGGAGGAGCAGCTGATGGCCGCCTGCACTCCACCAGCCCGTGGGAAAGGAGTTGGTGTTGGAGAAGTGCATTTCCTGGAGTGTTCTGCTGGCCTCTTGTTGGTTTTTTTTTTTTTTTTCCACTTTTTCCGTTTCTTTTTTTCCTGTCCCTTTTTCTCTCTTTACCCTGCTGCAATGCCGTTCTCAGCAGGGCGCGTGGGAAGAGTAGAGGGGACAGTGCTGTCACCTTTGCCAGTCCCTTGTGTCACCTCAGCAGCACGTCTGAAATTGGGGATCTCCTTGCTGCTATGCAGGCCCCCAGGATGTTCCCCAGAGGGGCTATGAGTTGTGCTCTGCGTGGCCCCCACTGAGCCCTCTGCACCAAACCCAGCACCACAGCCACCCTGGGCACTTCTTTGTTGGAGAAGCTTCAGTGCTGGGCTGGGTGGAATGAAGGTTGTGTTTGGGCCACATCCCTCAACCCACTCTTGAAGCTCCTTTGTCCCCATTCCTGGTCTTTCTCCCAGCCCACTGAGATCACTGGTGTGAGCTAACCAACCTCAGGCAGCCAGGACCCTACGTGCTACACTGAGCTCTGGCCTGCTTGCAGAATGTTCTGTGATGCTCACAGCTCACACAGCTGATGCTAGGGAATGCTATGGACTCAGCTCAGGACTCATAGTGCTTGGTTGGGATAATGCAGTGAACTAGCCACAGCCCTGGCTTGCTTTTTCTCTTGTCCCTTTGCTGCTGCTGCTGCTGAGCAGATCTGATCTGGCTCAAAACTAGCCCTGCTGCCGTGGGGTGGGAGCAGGTGAGTGCTGAATCTGCTGTCTCTGCCGGGCAGAGCCCCTTCTCCAGACCATCTTGGATCAGCCGTGGAGCATCTCCCAGCAACCCTATCCCAGCTGGCACCTCCTCACCCATCTCCCGTGCCTTGTGCTTGCCTGTAGGGGTGCAGTCCCGGGAGAAGTCCCCAGAGGAGAGCACCGTCTCTGCCCGAAGGCAAACCCCCAGTGACAGCCACTATGAGAAGAGCTCACCGGAACCCAGTTCTCCCCGCAGCCCCACTGTCCTCTCACCTGAGGTGGTCAGCACCATTGCGGCCAACCCTGGAGGAAGGCCCAAGGAGGTGCGCTGGGTACTGGTGCTGGGGGTGCTGATGGGGAGAGGGAAGGCTGGGAGGCAGCATTCTGGAGGGTTGGGGGTTTAACGATGCATTTTTGGTGAGGAGGTAAAAACTTTCCCTCTGGAGGTTTGTGCCCATTGTACAGATGGGACCAACCCTTTCTCCTGCTCTCCCCCCAGCCTCACCTCCACAGCTACAAGGAAGCCTTCGAGGAGATGGAGAGTGCCTCCCCCAGCAGCCCGACCTCCGGCGGTGGTGAGATTTCTCCCCCCACCCCAGCCTTCCCTGTCTCGCCACAAACCCCTTACTCCGACTCCCGTAAGTGCTGCGGCTCCGGGAGGTGGAAGGGCTCGGTGGGTGGCTTTCATCAAACCAGAAATTTGCCAAGGGTCAGACAGCTCCGGGCTCCAGACACCCACTGCCACGATAATCGCTCACTCCTCTTTTCCTTCCTCCTCCTCTCTCCTTCACATCCCACCATCTGCATCTCACTCTTGGCACTGTCCTGTTGGCTTTTCCCCATCCTCCACTCACTGGGGTGTTTCTGGGATGAGGAGAGGATCAGGGTCAGAGAGATGGCACCATCCCATTCCTGCACCTCCCCATCTTTTCTACCAGCATGGCACAAAAGCTATAGAGCAATAAGGGGACAGCAAGGGATGTAGGTCAGAGGCTCAGGGTAGACTCTTGCACACTGTCCCACTTCCCACTCACTGTTTTTAGGGCAGGAATGGCATAGGGCTGCAAAGAGTGTTGCATGTGTTCTGTCTCTACTTCTCTGGTTCCTTTCTAACTAACCTCGGTTGTGCAGTTGTGGTGGGTTTGTGGGGACCGGGTTTGTGTGACTGGCTCTGGTGATGACCCCCTGTGAAATGGAGCAGCTGGTCAACTGGGAAACCCATTAAAAAGATGCCCTCTCTGCCCTCCCAAAATAACCTTTTGTAGGCTGACCACACAGAAGGATGCTTTAGGGCTGGCAGTCAGTGTCCTGGTCCCACTCGGCAATGCTGATGCCCTTTGCAGATCAGGCTGCTTCCCCCACACTGCTACTGTCTATCTACTGATGTTCCTGTTTCATGAGATGTAGAGATCGGAGTGTGGGAATGTCCCGGGGCATTTGGCAACTCAGAAATGGCCCCGTTGTTCCTCGGGCCCAGCAGGCCCTTGGCAGAGGGACAGTGACTCATTTTGGGGGATGAGTCACTCGCAGAGGTGACAGAACAGCCTGGCAAGGGAGGTGGCCCAGAGGCAGCATTTATTGTCCAGTTTGAAAGTCAAGGAGGAAGTTTGAAGCTCAAGCTCTCAGGCTGCACTAGAGTTTCACCAGGGGTGATGCAGGAACTTTTCCTCTCCGTGGGGACACCGCTGTCCCTGGCCCTGGGAGAACCCCATATTTTGTCTGCCAGCATCGAGAAGGGACCAGACTGGAGGAAATCAGTTTTTGGGAAATCAGCCACCTACCAAAGCTAGGTTTCCCAGTGACTTGGCTGCTCCAGACTGAGGCTGCTCTGAGATGTGGCCTCAGGGGTGGGGATTGCCTTTCCTACCACCCACCACCTCCTGGCATCCCTGCTGCAAATTGGGATGTTCAAATGCTGATGGTGGAAGAATCTTCAAGGTGAATGTTGGGGAGAGTGAGGAAACTGGGATGTTGGTAGGGTTGGTGGAATGCAGCACTGAGGAGATGAGGCAGATCTGTGGGGTAGGAAGGGATGGAGGAACAACCACGTCCCATTAATCCCAACCATCCTGTGCTGCCAGTGCAGGCATAGCCATCGCCGTGCATACATAGGCAGCTTCCACTGGTATGTATGTATGAGCTTGGGGATTGCAGAGCTTCCATGTGCATTAGATACCTTTGGGGAATGAGCTCTGTGCGAACATAATCACCTGCCCGTTGAGCTGTTCTGTGGGTAGTAGATGTATTAGAAGTCCTAGATCGATGGAGTGTACTGGGACAGCCCTGCCTCAGTTCATCCAAGTGTAGGGGTGGGCAGAGGGGTGGGTTGGATGGGAGGACTGAGGAGGGGAATGGGATGATGATGGAGGCTTCATGCCTATGGTGGGACAAGGTTGAGAGATGGGGGCTGGGCCTGCCCTGTTGGGAATTGCCTCCCTTCTGTGTCCTGCCGTTCCCCAAATGGGACAGACTGCTTATGCACACTCTGTCCTTTGTGTGTCTTCAAGTGATGATGCTGCTCCAAACTTGGGCGTCCACTCTTTCTGGCAGTCCTGAGTGCAGCCAGTGGGTGGGATGGCGCTTACCTCCTGGGCAGCACTATCTCCGGACTTTCTGAAGCTTCCCCTCTTCTCCTGCCCTTAATGCTGTTGTTTTCCCCCCCCACCCTGGTGCCAACAGTGCGTTCTCCACCCGGCCTGGCCAAGACCCCTCTCTCAGCACTGGGGCTGAAACCCCATAACCCAGCTGACATCCTGCTGCACCCAGTGGGAGGTGAGTGCAGCATGGGGACTGTGGGTGGCTTTCCTTGAGGGGCATCTGTGAGTACACCTCTTGGGTAGAGGCTCCATCAGATGCAGAAGGCACTTCTTCCTCTGTGCTTGGGCCAGGCCATTGTGGGGACCTTCCCATAGGGATATGGGGTGCAGGCTTCTGGACATCATTTCTGAAATGGGCAGGCTGGATGCTGGAGATATATGGGGTCGGGAAGCTGTGGGGCTCTCTTCTGCCTTCTGTGTGCTCCTATTGCAAAGCAGTGCTGCTTAACTCAGATTTCTCTCTCTCTCTGTCTCACTCCTCCCTTTTTCCACCTCTGCCCTGCTCCCATCACTCCCCTCCATCTCTCAGAGCTAGAAGGGGAGGCGGGAGCTGACTCTGAAGAAGGTAAGAAAGGCTTTTTCTGCCCTGGCTCTCTTTCCTGTGGGTGCTCATCACTCAGAGCACCGAGGATGCCATGGTCTGGCCCTGGGGTGCTCAATGCCTGGGTGCCCCCCAATGATGGTGAGGCTCTGGGGTGGCACATGGCCTCAGGACAGAGCGCCTTGCATTACCCAAGTGCCGCCTGCAGTTGTTGGGTGGTTTTACTTTCTTCTTTAATGAAACTTTGAGCCCTCAGGGCCAGGATAGGGAACAATTTGTTCCAGATCCTTCCCAGGGAGGGGACGTCTCCTCGGCATGTTTGCTGCACTTCCTGCGGCTCTGTCAGCATTTCTCCCTGGGAGTTCCTCAAAATGCAAATACCCCAACCTGCGTGTTGTGTAACGCTTGAGAAAGTGTTTGCTTCAGGAAAACAACACAGATTTTTCAGTGATAGTTTCTTGGATGCAACAGAGGAAGAAGAGATGGGATAAATCCCAGCTTTTTCCTCCTGTGCTGTGTCTCCCAGCCCTCTCCTTCCCACTCCCTGAAGCTCTGCTTTTCCGTTCCTTGGTTCTCAACACACTTCGTGTGTTGGTGGCTAGCCCAAAGTACTGGTGTCCTTGTGGCTCTGCAAGTGGCCACTGGCAACTTCTTGCCTTACTTCTGTCCTGCAACCTCTTGGATAATGTGGTGGCGTGTGGGCTGAATCTGGTTGGACTGGGGGGTTGGACTCGATCTCTGGAGGTCCCTTCCAACCCCTACAATTCTGTGATTCTGTGGTGTTTTGGCTTTGGGGAGGTTATGGGAAATATGGAGATGACAGTTTGAGGACACAGGGACAACCAGCAAGATGGGGAGGGCTTGGATGGTGACACTGCTCTGGGCTGGTTGGGAGAGGAGATGTAATTTTGGGTGCTAAAAGAATAGTGTGGTTCACCCTGCGGCATTGTGGCTTGGATGGGAGAGGTTGGACATGGTCTGGGGAGGATGTAGCCCCCACCAGCAGCTCCCCTGTGCCCAGGACACCCTCAGCATGCTGCTCCATGAGGTTTCCATCCCACTGGGACCAGGGGGATGTGCTCAGCCCCTCCTTATCTCCTTAACAGGCAGTGCTGGATCATAGGGCTGCCTGTGCCCTCCGGGAAGGCTTTAGGACAGGCTTTGGGCACAAGGTTGGGTGTTTCACAGCCCTGATTAGGGTTCCCAAATCACTGCTCACCCCCCGGATGATACATGACTTCTGTGTTCCCCTGCTATTTTCCCATCTCTGCAGCCTCTTCTGAGAAAACACCAGGAAGCAAGAGTTGAGTTTTCAACCTAGGAAAAAAAAAATCCTGCCCGAAACTTCTCTTTTTCTGCTCCCCCCTCCCTCCCCTCCCTTTTTCAATACTGAACCAAGCAACTCCAACATGTGTCCGCGGTGTCACATGTCACCATGGCACGTATACATGCACACACGTGGGCTCTCCTCTCCATTGCCCTTGTCCCCGAGCCCTGTTCTTGTGTCCCTGCAGCTTCCACGTTTACAGGAGGGATCGGTATTTTCACAGCCGTTTGCTCTTAACCTCTTGGAGGCTGACTCATGTGTACTGTCTGGCTAATTTTAGGCTGGGGTGGGGAGACGGGTGGGAGATGTGAGTAGCTGCAAAAATTAATTTAATTACCTAAGCAGCACTGTGTTTCTTGCAGCTGCCATGGCCATCTCCTTGGGCACTGCCGTGTCACTGTCACTCTGACCGCGTGTCCTGCCGGGTGCTCAGCCCAAGCTGACGTCTTCTGTCTGGTTTTGGCTCTTTCCTGGGCTGGGCAGGGAGATGAGCCCTGCAGCATCGATTCCTCCTGCAGGCAGATGGGACACTGGCACGGGGACATGGAGAGGATCGGGGAACCTATGACCATCTTTTTCCTTCCTTGCAGTCCTGAGCTGTGCATTGGCCTCACTGGCTCTCTTGGCTGTGGGATTAGACAGAATCTGGCTGCTATGACTAATAGTAATAATGTTTGTAATGCTAATTAGTGCTGCAGAGTCACCTTGGGGATGGTCAGCCTGGAACTGGCCTGGAGCTGGCCTGGAACTGGGGATCTGCAAGGATGCCCAGCCCAGAGCTCCTGGCACAGGACAGCTCAGTGTCTCCAAAGGAAAACTGCTTTTATTGGGAGTGCTCATGGGCTCCAGTTTCAAGCAGGAATGGGGGAAAATGTTGGATGCTTCAGTGGAAATAGATGAGGCTGCTCTCTGTTCCCAGATGCTGGAGGTGCTGGGGGAAGTGGGCTGTGCAGGGCAGCACCCTGCTCCCGCTATGAGTCAGCATAGGCTGTGCCGTGCTGTGCTGTTGGCTCTATTTTTAGGGGCTGAGGATGATCATGGAGCACGACGTGTGCCCTGTGGCATCCCAGCCTGGGAGAGGCACCGATTCAGAGCCTGGTGGAGGGGCTGTGGCATGGCACTGAGCGATGATGGGTCGCACCATGTGGCGCTGTGTACTACGTCCCCTTGGGGATGGGACTGGGCACAACTCTCCCATCTCTGTGTCCAGGGTCTTCAGTGTGCCGTGGAGGAATGCTAAGGCACAGATGAGCCCCATGTTTTTGCACAGTCCATGGGGGGTGGAGGAGCTCAGTTTGGGCATCTCCTCTGGCTCAAATGGGGATACAGGAAAGGGCATGGCCCCATTTCCATGCCAGCTCATCTCTTTCCTCTTTTGTTTCTCTGCAGAGCCTAGGAGCTATGTTGAGTCAGTGGCCAGAACGGCCACAACTGGCAGGGCAGGGAACCTTCCAGCTGCCCAGCCTGTGGGCCTGGAGGTGCCTGCCAGGAATGGTGCCTTTGGCAACTCCTTCACCGTGCCCAGCCCCATCTCTACTAGCAGCCCCATCCACAGCATGGACGGGTGAGTATGGGAGTGTAAGTCCGCAGGAGGCGTAGGGTCTGTGCTAACCCCCTAACCCTGGGAGCTTTGCTCCCTTGTAGTGAGTTGGTGCCATCCATCCCTGTCCCCTCCACTCTGCCCACTGGAGATGAAAGAACAAGGGGTTTTGCTGGGAGAGGAACTGGGAAAATGCTCTTTCTCCCATATTTTGGTGGAGAATTGATGCGTGTGAGAACTGTGAAGCTGCCTCCAGTTGCTTCCTGTAGCTGGCAGGACTCATCCCACCGCTGCTATTGAGCAGCTTGCTGGTGCCATGCCTCAGTTTTCCTGTGCCTGCTTGGAGGAGGGGCCCAACCAGCAGTGGGAGTGCAGCGGAGCTGAATCCTCTTCTCCTGATCTCTCCTCAGTGCCTCGCTCCGCAGCTATCCATTGGAGGGCAGCCCCCACGGCACAGTTACACCTCCCCATGCTGTAGCTGAGCCAGCTTACCGGTCACCTATCGTCTCACAAACGCCATCTGCTCACAGCAGCTACCAAACTTCGTCTCCATCATCCTTCCAAGCGGGAACGCTGGGCTCTCCCTATGCCAGCCCTGACTACCCTGATGGCCGAGCCAGCTTCCAGCCGGACCCCCAGGTTCGGCAGCAGCCACAGGTCAGCGTGGTGGGTGTCCATGCGCTGCCAGGGAGCCCCCGCACCCTACACCGGACAGTGGCTACCAACACACCACCCAGTCCTGGCTTTGGGCGAAGAGCTGCCAACCCTGCTGTTGCCAGCACGCCCGGCAGCCCTGGGTTGGGCCGGCACACCATGTCCCCCCATGCGCCACCAGGGAGCCCCAGCCTTGCCCGGCATCAGATGGCAGCCGTGCCTCCCGGCAGCCCTATGTACGGCTACTCCAGCCCAGAGGAGAGGCGCCCAACGCTGTCCCGGCAGAGCAGTGCGTCCGGCTACCAGCCTCCCTCCACGCCATCTTTCCCCGTCTCACCGGCGTACTATCCTGGCACCAGCACTCCACACTCCTCCTCCCCGGACTCTGCCGCCTACCGCCAGGGCAGCCCCACTCCACAGCCTGCACTGCCTGAGAAGAGGCGGATGTCAGCCGGTGAGCGCTCCAACAGCCTGCCCAACTACGCCACGGTCAACGGCAAGGCTTCCTCGCCTCTCTCCAGTGGCATGTCCAGCCCCAGCAGTGGCAGTGCTGTGGCTTTCTCCCACACTCTGCCGGATTTCTCCAAGTTTTCCATGCCAGGTAAGGGATGCTGTCACCTCCATCCCTCTTCAGCTGCCTGCTGTCCCATGTCCCCTTCTCATCACTGTCCTGCGGATTTATGTCCTGATGTACTCCTGCCCAGCTGCGAACTTGCAGCACAGCTGAGGCTTGGACTGTTTCCTGCTTTGTTTTTTGTTTTTTTCGCTTTTCAAAAATGGTGAATCCAAACAGGAAAAATACCAATTTGATGTTGGGAGCACGCTGTCATGCTGGTGTAAACAGCGTGGGGATTTGTATATGGGGAAGATCAAAGCGTCTGCAGGCAGCTCGCATCCGCCCAGCTTCTCTCTGTCATGGGGATGTGCTGACCTCCCAGCCCCATTTCTGGTGTTTGCGCCCCAGGGAGCTCCCAGTGCTATGCTCCGGGCCCCCTCCTTGTTTCTGAAGGGGTGCCACACCCATATCACCATCCCCTGCTCCCATTACGAGCCGCCACCATGTCGCCGAGATTGGGCTGATAGGACTAGGGAAATAAAGTGCTGGGGCAGCAGTGGCTCCAGCTGCCGCTTCGGTTTGGCTGCCAAGCAGGTGGCCCTTTGTGGGCACACTGGCACCTGCAGTGGCCCCATGACTGCAGTGGCCAGGAGCCACCCTAGGGAGCGGGGACCTCTTGGTGCTGGCATAGCAGCTGAGTGCGATGGGAAGCACTTGAGCATCTCCTACAGATCACAAAGGGCTCTTCCCAGGCCCCACACTGAGCTTTAAATACAGTCATAGAGTAATTAAGGTTGGAAAAGACCACTCAAATCATTTAGTCCAACCATCAACTCATCCCCACCATGCCAACTATCCATGTTCTCAGGGCCACATCTCGGTGATTCTTGAACACTTCCAGTTATGTTAACTGCACCCCCTCTTTGGGCAGCCTATACCAATGCATTACCATTCATTCTGAGAAGAGCCCAGGGGAGACATGAGCTACCAGTGAAAATAAGGTTGGGGTTAAGGCGGCACGTTGGGGCTGTGTGGAGGTGAAGGTAGCTGTATTCCCAAAAAGGTGGGAGTCACCCAGATCTCACGCAGTTTTAGATAGTCTCCTTTGACTTTTTCTTCTCTTCTTCCCTTCCTGCAGACGTCAGCCCTGAGACTCGTGCCAATGTGAAGTTTGTGCAGGACACTTCTAAGTACTGGTACAAGCCAGACATCTCCCGGGAGCAAGGTGTGTAGGTGACATGTGACAAAGGACTTGGAGTGAGCTGGAGTTTGCTTGCTGGTGTTGGAGGGCACACTGCCTGTCAGCACGCCAGGTCTGAGCTCTCCCCTTCTCTCCCCCAGCCATCGCACTGCTGAAGGACAGGGAGCCAGGGGCTTTCATCATCCGGGACAGCCACTCCTTCCGGGGAGCCTATGGCCTTGCCATGAAAGTGGCTTCCCCACCTCCCACCGTCATGCAGCAGAACAAGAAAGGTATTATGTGTCCTCCTTCTTCCCACACTGAGATGCTTTCTATTGTTTCTGTTGAGCGGGCAGCCAGGGCTACTGAGCCAAACTGCCCGTGGATATGTGCTGATGTGGCAGCATCCCTCCCTGCTAGCCTCTGCCATCCCCCAGGTCATGGGGACATACCAGACATAGAGGGCTGGGGGACATCTTCCCCTGGGCTTTGGCATAGTGAAATGCACACAGCCCACCAGCAACGCAGCTTGGGGTGTGCAGAGGATCTGGTTCCAGGAGGGTGACTGTGAGTGAGCCAATGGGATTGCAGTGGGATGGTGAAGGGAGGAGAAGGATGAGGGCAGCTCTGGTGTGACAACATTTGGTCTCTTTTCTCAGGAGACATCACCAATGAGCTGGTGAGGCACTTCCTCATTGAGACTAGCCCACGGGGTGTGAAACTAAAAGGATGCCCCAATGAGCCCAATTTTGGTGAGTACCCCAGGTGTAGTTGGGATGCCTTTCCTTTGCCGGAATGTTTGAGCAGAGCAATCAGGTATCTGAAAGAGCTGCCCCTGAGCTTTCTGGAGGACAAGTGATGCTGCTGGGCAGGGTAGAGATGAGCCCCCATGGGCATGGTGGCTTCAGGGAAGGAAAATGCCACGTGTGGTTCTGTCCACCTAGAGCACTAATACCCTGACAAGCTCCTGTGCTGGGCAGGCTTGTTCCCAGCCCTGTGCTAACCTTCTCCCTCTCTCCCCAGGCTGCTTGTCGGCTCTTGTCTACCAGCACTCCATCATGCCTCTGGCCCTGCCCTGCAAGCTGGTCATTCCTGACCGAGGTAAGAACCAGGGCCAGCAGTATGGGGTGGCACTGCCCCTCTGTTCTTCGTGGTAGGAGCTCCTCCTCCAGCTAGGAGCCACATATGGGCTGTGTTTCTCCATCTGGACCAGCTGTCCAGGAACATGCTCTGCACTATGAGCCATAGCTCATTCCTTGTGCTCAGATGGTTCAGAGCCAGGCTGGGCTTTCCCCTGTATCCCCAAGTGCTCCATCAGTGCTGGTATCCAATGCTCAGCACTTAGAAAGGGGATAGTGCATCTGCTTCCAGTACCTGGTAGGTTTCCAGGCAGGGGGAGCAGCCATGTCTCATCTCTTCTAGATCCCATGGAGGAAAAGAAAGATGCTGTGTCGACCACCAACTCAGCCACAGACCTTCTCAAACAGGGTGCGGGTGAGTAGAGAAAAGCTGCTACAGGGATACTGTGGCCCAGAGCAGTGGCTGGCTGACCCCACTTGTGCTTTTCCCCTTCCAGCCTGCAATGTCCTCTTCATCAATTCAGTGGAGATGGAATCGCTCACAGGCCCCCAGGCCATCTCCAAGGCCGTGGCAGAGACACTGGTGGCCGACCCCACACCAACTGCTACGATTGTTCACTTCAAAGTCTCTGCACAAGGCATTACCTTAACGGACAACCAGAGGAAGTAAGAGCCCCTGCTACCACATCCTTGGGTCCCCAAAGTCTGGGCATGCGTGGGACATGGGTGTTACACTGGGAGCATGAAGGATGTCCCTCAGGGATGTGAGCTTGGTCACGGACCTTGGCCCTGCCTTGTGGAGTGTCCTAGGGGACAGCCAGGGGAGCTGTGATGGGAAGAGGTGGGGGATGACTGGCTGTGATGCTCTGTGCCTTGTGTTTCAGATTGTTCTTCCGACGACACTATCCTCTCAATACTGTTACCTTCTGTGATTTGGACCCCCAGGAACGAAAGTAAGTGCCCTAACCCTTGGGGTTTCCCCTGCCTTTTTCCCTCTCCCAGGCCACTGTGCTGCTTGGAATGGGGTCTTTGCTTTTGTCTGTTCCCCTTGCTTCTGTAGTGTGCAGGAGGCACCATCTCTAACACTTGTTCTCCTTGCAGGTGGACTAAAACTGATGGCAGTGGTCCAGCCAAGTAAGTGTATGCTCAGTTGCTGTCAGGGTGGATCCCACTTGGGTTTGAGCATCACCTTCTGGAGCGTCTGGCTGGGGGGGTGCCCCCACATGGTACACTTGGTTGCCTGAAGGATGGGCTCTTCTCCTTGCTTTGGGAACTTTTCACCCAAGCATGAGAGCACTGCTCCAGGAACTGAGCCCAGTTCCGGGGGTTAGTTCCCACTAATTTTAGCTATTGTGTTAGTGAAGGAGTTTTTATTAGGATGTCCAGCTGCTGGGATGTTTCCTCTCTCCAATTAGAAATGCCACAGCCTGGGCCTGTCTCACATTCTGTTCCCCCATATTTATAACTTCAGTTTGCACGTTCTAATAAAAAAAAAAAAAAAAAAAAAAAAAAAAAAGACATTTCGTTTATTGGGGGAGAGACAGACAGAAATAACCACATGGTCTCATCCAGCTCTGTGGGCAGCAGTGTGTGGTCTGCACTCTTGATGTCCCCGTGTGGCCTTTCTAGTGTTATGGGATCCCTCACATGCCTCAAGGTCCTTGTTTGGGGACAGTCGTGGGTTGAGTAGCTGGGATGGTCTGAGCAAAGAGGGTTTGACAGAGAGTGTTGGTCTTCAAAGAACCAAGAGGAGGTTTAGGCTGGTCTTCATGTGGGCTCTTTGGAGAATAGGGTATTTCCTTGTGGGCCATGCAAGATGAATGTTGAAGAGCACAGGGTTAACGTGGCCATACTGGAAGAGGATGGGTGGTGTTCCTTGGGTGAGCAGCACTGGCAAACCTCACTGAGCCTCTTGTCTTCTCCCCACCCAGGCTCTTCGGCTTTGTGGCCAGGAAGCAAGGGAGCACCACAGACAACGTCTGCCACCTCTTTGCAGAGCTGGACCCGGACCAGCCAGCTGCGGCCATTGTCAACTTCGTCTCCAGAGTCATGCTTGGCTCTGGCCAGAAAAGATGAGCTGGTGCTTGCGGGTGATTCTTGAATTTTGGAGAAGGACTTGGAGCTGATCCGAGAAGGAGTGTGAGGAAGTGCATTGTGGGAGAGGGAAGTGAATTGGGGGGGGGGGGAAGGGTTGGAATTGTGGAGGAAAACAGCAAACATTGACAAGAAAACAAAACAAAACCCTAAAAACTTGACACAAGCTAAACACACACATAGAAGAATCAAACCACACACCTATGTAACAGAGCCATGAAGTCAACGCCAAACAGGGAGAGGATGCGGATGCATGTCCCACCACAGGGAAGGTGACCAAAGTGAAGATGGCAGCAAGAGGAGTTCCCAGCTTTCGGCATTGCAGTCCTGAGGCCACACCAAGTGGTTATGTTTGCTCCAGACCAAATGCATGGTTGTCATTTGGAGGAAAAAAAAAAAAAGAGACAAAACAGTAAAAGCCATGAAAGAAGCCTTCATCGGTGAACGTCTGCTGCATGTTTGACACAGCGTACAGAGGATAACGCCCTGCTGCCATGTGGGCCCAGGTCTGCAGGACACTGGAGGAGATGCCGTTGGAAACTTCCCCTCGCCATGCTGCAGCAGAGGGTCCTGCCAGCTTACACCGAAACCTGCTGGCCACCCTGCTGGGGTTTGCAACGGCTTGGTCCCGAATCCTCTTGTTGCCTGGGTGCTTGGCTTTGGGCTACCCTCAGCTGCTGGCCCATAGCCTAGCACAGGTGAGACATCACAAGTTTCACCCACAGAGGGGCAGTGCAGCATCTCCTCCACTCCTGGGCAGCTCCTGTGCTCCATGCCTGGAAGAGGAGGATACTCCTGGTCTGGTGGAGGAAGGAAGGCACCTCCTCGCTCATCTTCCTCTTTTCCCTCCTGTCACCAGTCCTCTTTGACAGTTTTCTCCTGTGGCCTGTCACACATTCTCTTAACAGGAAAAAAAAAAAAAAGAAAAAAAAAAAAAAGAAAAATGTTACAATAATAATAATAATAATAATAGCAGATGCTTGCACAGGTGGGTTTCCTGTGCGGAGCAGTGGACCCGTGGCCGGCCCTATCTCTCTCTTTGGAGATGTGCAAGCAGTTTTTAAATTGCATGGACGTTCAAGTTGCACGAAAGGCGAATGACTACAAGTAACTCAGGCGCTTTCTCTTGTTTTTATTTTTGGAGGCCACGTTAAAAAAAAAGAAGGAAGAAAAATTATTTAGAAAACAACAACAACAACAACAAAGGATCAACAATCGCTGGGCAGCTTTGGCTCGGTGGGGAGGCCACAGGTCCTCTGAGAGCCACCCTCCGCCTTACCCATGGTTGAAGGTTTGCACCCCAAATGTACTGCAGGCTTTTCCCTGTATGTGGGGATGCACAGGGGCTGAGGGCCCTGTGCCTTTATGGCTGAGCATTGTGGTGTTGGGGAGCAGAGGTCCCAGCCCCAGATCTGGCTCTGGTGGTGGTTGGTGGAGGGAGCAGTGTGCAGGTTTGGGGCAGAGCTGAGCACTGTGCTGCGAGCACAAAGGTTCAGAGGTTGTGTTTTGTGGTTTTTATGTCTGGAGAAGTTTCGGTGCAGAGTGGCCCAGATAGCCTGCTGGAGGCGAACAATTAGACTCCTACTGCTGCAGCCCCCAGAGAACTTGCCTCCCTCGGACCACCCTTGCCTTGATAGCTATAATATATATAGGAGCTATACTGACGAAATACTGTAAGCTAACAAAATTTAAAGGAGGAAAAAAAGGTTAAATTGACACTCTGAAAATATTTATTTTTTTGCCATATTTTGCTTTCCGCGCATCGATTCTCCCCCTTGTTCTATCTGCCTTCCCCCGCCCTGGGGGTAAACACCTGCACATCAGAAGCGAATTGGGTGCAAGGGAAGCGCCGATGGGGCGTGCAGGTGCCACATGGGGGACATGCGTGTGACCGTGTGTGTGTGTGTGTGTGTGCACGAGAGAGCGACGGCGTGGGCGCGGAGGGGCTGGCGTGGCCGGAGGCTGGTTGGTGTATGGCAGGTGATGGATGCGTAGCGGGGATTTGGGTGCGAGACTGTGGTGGGATGCGTGGAGGACGGAGCCTTCTCCCCCTCCCGGCTCCCCCTATCCACATGGATGCAAAGACCTTTTCATATTTTATCTTTTTATTTTTTAATGATGTTTCTAAAGCGATTCCCTCCTTCTGCGAAATTCAAGCGAGATGAGAGATGATCTCACCCGTCATCTCCTCACCCTGCCGGTAACCGATTAGAGGAAACACTGTGTTTATAGATATATAAATATATATTTTTTTGAAAGTCTCTATTTTTCAGACTTGGTTTTCTCACTGCTAAGAAAGAAAAGAGATGATAATAATGTAATTTTATTTTAATCTACTGCCTCGGTGCTTGAGTCTCCCCTTCACCTTCCCGTCCCATAGGGCAAAGCAGATCGGAGCACCCAGAGGTACTGGTAGCATCACGCCTGCTTCAAGGCTCCACAATGATGCTCAAGCTGGAGATATAGCCTGTGTCTGAATGGCAAACGTTAACCATTGTGTAGTTTTTAACATAGAGTTTCCAATGATGTCAGCGGGCATTTGTCAGCTCCCCTTAAGGCACTTTCCTTCTTTATCTCCTTTTAAAAGTTACTTTTTTTTTTGGCTGTAACTCCCCACCAGTTGGGTTGTCGGGGACCCAGTACCGTGTCAATATTTTTCTTAACAAAAAGGATGGATGAGATCCTTTGGTTTTTCTTTGGCTTTGCCATGCAGTTGCGGTATCAGAGAGTCGAGCTTGTGCGCGTTCACCCTGCTCATGTCCCATTGTAACCACACCACCGGGTGTTCTCTCTCTCACACACACCAACACATCCCTCCTTCCTGCACAAAGAACTGCATATATTCTTGCCAAAGATATCCTTAAAAACGCACTTTTCCCCACATATATATATATATATAATTTTTTTTTTTTTTTTTTTTTTTTTTTTTTTTTTTTTTTTTTTTTTTTGCGTGTGTACATTTGTTGTACGTCACCTTTTTGTGTTGATTTGTTCTTTGGAGAACCTTCCCATTCCCATCCCTCCTCCCTTTGCTGTCGGTGTTGCTGCCTTACAGGAAGGCTCCTGGGGGTTTCCCATCTGACCCGGTAATTATCTGGGGGTTTTGTTGTGTCTCTGTCTGCTGGAGGGATGCACCCTTTGTGCAATAAGTTGTTCTTTCCTATTGGATGCAACAAACCAAATGAAGCCAGGTTTTGGTAGTTCTGGATGTAACGCATGCTGATCAAGCATGGAATATCATAGAGTTGTGGAATTGTTGGAGTTGGTAGGGATAGTGGGGAGAAAACCTAGTTCCAGCCCCTCTTGCAGGTTGATGCTGTGGGAAGGGATCCCACAAGCAGAGCCAGGCTTTGTCCCAGCATCCAGGAAACACCTGGATGTGGCCATAGCCTCTGGGCATTGATTTTTTTTTTTTTTTAGCAGTGAAACAGTCAAACCGGAGCACACCCTGCCCAGCAGGTTGGGCAGGTACGGAGCCGGCCGGCCCAAAAACCCAGACGGCATCATCGGCAAATGGAACCCTTCCCGTTGGAGCAGGCAGGGAGATCAGACAGCAGAAGAGCCCGCAGGGGCTTGTTTGATTCCGTTCGTTTGTTTTGCAAATTGCGAGGTTGGGTTGGGGTTACTATTTTTTTTTTTTTTTTCTTCTTTTTCTTAAAAAGGAGAGGGGAAAAAAAAAAAAAAAAAAAAAGGAAACAACCCAACATTTCTGTTGGCGGATCCAGCACTGCCGTGTTTTGTGTGGTTTTTTTCTTTTTCCTGTTGTCTTTGTTACTTTGGGAATGTTACAGATTTATTTGCTAATCAGTGTTAATGAACAGTTCAAGACTTTCAGACTTGCCCCTTTCTGTGTATTTATATAGATGGAAAAGAAATATGTTATATTTTGTATCTTTGTGCCCATGGCGTCGTCGCGCGTGTAAAGATGACTTTGGTTGCACCATGTCTGCGTGTGAATGTGACTCTGCTTTTGTCTTCCCCTTTGTACAGATGTCTGATTCTCCGCAGTTCATTGTATGGCTTTATAAAGTGGTAAAAACAAAAAATCAGTTATATAAAATATACTGTTGCTTGGAATGCCCGCTTGGTGTCCGGGTCGCTCGGAACATATCTCACATTCTAAGGGAGCACGGAAATAAATGTTCTATTCTTTTTGCATGGGGGGGGGGGGGGGGGGGGAAGCCCAACAACCACCATGGGGGTGCTGTGTTTTCTGCAGCTGTGCCCCCCCAGTCTTCAAAGTTGGGCTGGGGGAGGTGTAACTACAGTGCTGCTCACCAGATGTGGGTTAACTGGGGAATGTTGGGGCTGCTGTGTGACTCTGGCTCTGTTCTGGCCTTTGTTTGACAAAGGGGGTCCCTCTTTACTGGTGCTCCCTTTGAGTAGTGGGGGCTCATTGCATCCTGTTATCCCTGGCACTGAGGGTGGTGATGAACAATGTTCCCTCCACCCCCATGTCACCATTAGGGCTGAGCTCTGTGCTCCTCAAACTCCATTCACTGCCCCTTTAGGGACAGTCCTGCTCCCCCATTCCTGGCAAAACAAAGTAGTCCCCCCTCCCCAAGTAGCATCCCTGCCTTTTCCCGGGCTTAGAGAGTGATTCCCAGCATCAATCAGAGCCCCCAGCTCTCTGCTCTGTTCCTTCCCTTCCTTACTGAGTTGGTGGCCAAGCCCCGGCCCCCGGGATGGATTGAGTTTAATTAGACAAGAAATATCAGCCAGAGCAGCAGCAGTTTCTCTGGCGCCAGTACTGCTGCGGCTCACAGGCTCTGAGCTTCTCCTGGGAGCCGGCAGCACTAAAAATACCTCCTGCCTTCCTCTGAAATAGCTGTGGGGCGAGGAGCGGATGGAGGGGGCTGCTCAGAGGACCCCGTGCTGAGGGGCCTGTGCAGAGGTGGAGGGGTAAAACAAGTATGGGGAAGAAAGAGGATGGTTATGGGCACCCCGAAACCAGCAGTAGGGATGAAGGTGGGTGTGTTGTGCACCAGGGGATGAGAGTGGCTTGCTGTAAGCCAGCAAACACCATGCCTTCCTGCTCCCTCTCTGCTTTTTTTTTTTTTTTTTTTTTTTTTTTTTTTTTTTCTGCAGTTAATTCCCCATTTCCTTTCCAAAATTCCTCGGGAGCTTCTGGTTTGTGTTTTTCCTCAACATGTTCTTATCTGCCGCCCGCGCTCTCTCGCTGGGCTGCACAGTGCTGGTGTTTCAGGGCTCCTTCTCTGCAGACTGCAGCTGTCCCCTGGCCAGGCTGGTGACCCTGGTGTCACCATCACCAGGTACCACCAGATCCAGCCAGGAGCCTCTATTGCCTCCCTATTGCCCACCACGCCCCTTCCTTCAGGTTCCTAAAGCTGAGATGTTTTTTCTCCTTATCTTAGCTCCTGCTCAGCTGTCTTGGGGCCACCCAGGAGAGTTTCTTGGGGGGGTTCTCTGCTGCCCACCTGCAGAAGGCAGGGATGAGCACGCTGGGGTAAAACCAGGTACTGCTGGTGGGGAGGAGGGCACTTTCTTCTTCTTTCTCATTTACCCTCTCCCAGACTTGATCACAGTGGTGGAACCCCTCAGTGGTGTTCCCACGGGAACAGAAGATGTGACCCAGCCCAGCCTTTCATGGGCATCATTTGTAGGCTGAGAGCCAGCTGGCATCTCCGGGGTGGAATGGGTGCAAAGTATCCTACATAGGCAACACATACAGCACCAAAGTTCATCCATGTCGACAATGCCAAACCCAAGAGGATAAAGCCCTGCCCCTGGAGACACTCAAGGTTGGGCTGGAAGGGCACTGAGCACCTGATCAAGCTGGTGTCCCTGTTCATTGCAGGGGGGTTGGACTAGATGGCCTTTAAGAGCCCCTTCCAACCCGAGTGATTCTATGGTTCTATGATTCTAAGCCTGTTATTGAGTTGCTGGTGAGAAAAAAAACATCACTGAAACAGCTCTAGGGGTATCATCGTCATCTTGGGGAAGTGTCACCGCTTGGAGGTGGGCACAGACATGATCTGTGGTGCAGCAGTTACCCATTCTCCATGGCCACAGTGAACAGAAAATGACAACGAAAAGGATCAGGGTTAAATACTAAAGGAAGAGGGATCGTATGGCCTTCTGCTATCGTTCACCTGGAGAGGGAGTGGAGCTGAAACTCCGGGGGTGACTGAGGAAAGGGAAAAGAGGGGCTGTGCGCCGGGTCCTGTCGGAGCAGGGCGGCGGTGGGAGGTCCCTGGGAGCCGGGCGTGGGTATAGGACCGCGCTGTACTCTGCCTTGTGAGGTTCGGGCTCCATCTACAGGGAGGTGCCTCCAAGAGGCGGATGGAGCCCTTGGGCTGACGCATGCCCAAAACGGGCCTGGCAGGAGCTGACGTCTTCTTGCCTGTTCGCGGCTTCTGCAGCTTTTCTCTTCTGAACTGTGCTCCCGTCCTGCACTGGTGGGAAGAGCTCAGGTGCAGACAGATCTGTATGTTGCTGCACCAAGGGGCTCGGAGCATGCAGGACCGAGGTGCAACCTGGAGCTAGTTGCAGGATGCTCCAGCGCTGCTGACCCCTGGCTGTGGGCTCTTCACAGCCTCTGCTAAAGCTCACCCATGGGCAGGGTGCCCCCGCCAAACAGCCTCAGCTCCCACGGGACTGATGCTCCCAGCGGAGGACTGTGGTTATTGCAAACATGAAGTCCTGGGCTCAAGTGCTGAAGCCTAGAGGATCCCCCAGGGGATGCAGCCTGTGGCAGGTGATCAAAGTAATATCGGGTCAAAGTCTCATCAAGGCAGCCTAATTCACATGCTTAGGTGTGATAAAGCCGCACGAGGCACCTCTATTCTCCCTAGTTAGAAGAGGCTCAATCATATCCTCATCCTTTCACCTGCCAGCAATTGTGGGCGTGAAGTGGTAACAAGTCCAGCCTGGTCCACTTACCTTAATAAAAGCAGTATTTAGTAAAGGTATAGGAAGCCCCTTGTTTGCAGTCCCTCTGCCCTAGCCCAGGATAAGGAAAGCTTTTAATGCTTCCTCTGTGCCTTTATTTTCTCCCTCATTCATGCTCTACCTCCTGTCTGTATTGAGCTGCAGTGCTGATGGACTCCAGTTGGATGCATCCTTGCCTTCGTGGTGGGATAACCAAGAGGGACTAAACTCTTCCTCATTGCAGCCCCTTGCTCCTAGGGAGATTTGCACCCTCCTGGCTCTCACCCTGCCTTTCCACCATTCCGTTACTCTGATGGCAGCTGGATCCAGCAGAAAGTTCTCAGCTGATGGTAAGTAAGATAGTGTTTATCTCCAAAACTGGGCTCTTCCTTTTGGATGTAGGACTCTCTCCTTCCATATTTCTGCCAGTTAGGCTGAAGGGACAGAGGGGTACATCTGTCCTGATGATACTGGGACAGCTGTGTGACTGTGGTGGCAGTTTTCTATTCCTGGTGGTTGGGGTTCTCCTCTGAGTTTTGCTCCAAGTTGGGGAGTTTGTAGTTAAGTATGGAGCCTGTAACCATGCCAGACAGCCTGGATGGTCCCTGGAGAGGGATGTGCAAAGCACACACAGGTATGCTTGCATGCATCTATACTCAGTACAGAGCAGAAATGCCCCTATGGTCTCTTTTTTCCCATCTCTGTTAAGTCTGTGTTGCAGCACTACCCACTCTTTACTCCCCCCTTCGTTCTGTAAGAAAGAAAAACAGGAGTAGAGGAATGCAATATTTGCAAGCTCATTGTTTCCAGCCTCCATCAACTGGATAAAACAAGCCACCAGCGAGCAGCTTCTCGTGACTGTGCACAGAGCCCTTGCCAGAAGAACAGGGCTGTAATGAAAGCCGTATGCAGGAATGAGCAGGAATTCAGCAGTGCTTTCAGCAGAGCTCTGCTGGGATGTGCTGCAGCCACTTGGGAGAGCCGTGGAGAAGGGTGATTTGTGGCTGAATGTCCAGCTAACACTGAGGCAATCTGGAAGGGCTTTGGTTTATGTGGGCTCCCTCTCTGGGCTGAGATTTTGCAAGTGCAGTGGGATGGCAGGGCAAAAACAAGGAGGAAAAGCTCTGGTGGGGTGGGAACAAATAGTTGCAGTGACTCAGGGTATGGTCTTTGTATTTTTTTTTTCCCATATGAGACAGCTTGGATTGATCTACTTGAGATACTGGCACCACCTTTGGACTTGGTCCCTCTAGGATTTTACTGTGGGATTTGAATTACCTTCATGAATGCATAGAATAGCTTCCAAAGTGCCACAGATTTGCCTGACTCTGGCTCGTTGTGGGTGTTCAAACCCTATGGCCCTGATCACCCCACCTGAAATCTCTCCTTCAAATTATACAGTCAGGTTAATTCCTTCCAGCTTTGCTTTGTGCTCCTTACTTCCCTTGTACTCATTCAGGGGAGGTAAAAAGGAGGTCTGTGTTCACGGTTTGGCCAATACTATCTTCTAAAGACCTTTACAAGCATACCCACAGCTCTTATTTGTAGCACCCTGGGAACCTCACTCCTCAGTGATGGTACTCAGGGCCCTCCATTGAGAGGAGTGGGGAGAGGCTGTTGGTAGGGGTAGCAATACCCTGGGAGCACTGGAAAGATTTGTAGGACATTCCTGGGATGTGTGGAGCAGACAAGATGACATTTTGGCACTGTGCCTCTTGGTAAGATGTGAGGAGAAGAAGAAACTTGTGCCAAGGTCCTATTTTGAAGCAGCCCTCTCGAGCCCTTTGATACAGATAGTATCCCTGGGGATAGGGTTTCACACTTCTTTATAGCTCACGCTCCCATGGGAGAGAAATCCCAGCCTTGCTCAGGCTGGCTGCTGTCTGCCTCGGCTGCTGGGCAGCAGGCAATGGCTGTCCTTCATCCCTAAGGGCCCTGGCCTCAGCCATCCTATGTGCTCCCACAAGGAGAAAATGCTAGATGATCTTTGTGGTCTTTTCTAATCTATCATTGATTCAGTGACCGTGAGCTTCCACTGGGCCCTGCTACGTGTTCCACTTCACACTGCTGGGAGATGTGGAGCTTTTCCCAAATGACCATGTAGAGCAAGGAGCATGAACCGAGGACGCTCACCACCAGGTCTCCAAGCTCAGCAACCTGCTGTCCCATCTCTGCTCTCTCCTTCATTTG